CCAACTTAGCCTTCTACGACACGTGCGTCGAGCACAACCTGCGCACGTGCGACCAGGTCTGGGCGAGGGCCACCGAGCTCAACGAGCAGGGCGACAGGGCGCTGCTATCGTACCTTGTGGACAACGACGCCCGGGCAACCCTGGCCAAGGTGGCCCAGGCTGCGGCTTCGAAGGAAAAGCTGCGGCGCGCAGCTCTGACCCGCGAGCAGCTGCTGGAGGAGTTCGTCTCGAAGAAGACTTGCTCGTGCTCGAGCCCTGGCTGGTGCTTCGGCATGATGAAACAAGTGCTTCGGGCAAACTCACTGGACGGGCCCTTCCAGCGGGAGGTCTTGGGGGCTATGAGAGCAGGCCGGGCCAAGCAGAGGAACATCTGCTTGGTGGGGCCGCCGGACTGCGGAAAGAGCTTCTTGCTGAAGGGTTTGCGAGGCCTCTTCGAGTGCTACGAAAGACCCGACAGCGGCTCCCACCAGCTGGAGGACTTGCTCACCGCGGAGGTAGTCTTCCTGAACGACTTCGAGTACGACTCGAAAGCGCCCGAGTGGATGCCATGGGCATTCTTCAAGGACTTCCTAGAGGGGTCGCCGGTGAAGGTAGCGGTGCCGAAGCAGCGGGGCGGGAACACTGTCTTCGAAGGAGACGCCCCGGTCTTCCTGACGAGCCCCAGCGAGGTCACGCTCAAGAGGTACAACAATGAGGTGGTGAACGAGATCGCGCAGATGCGCAAGCGCATCAAGTACCTCTGGCTTCCGCAGGAGATCCCCGCAGAGATGCGCCAGGAGGTGAAACGGGTCTGCCCCCACTGCTCTGCCCGGTTGTACTTGGAGGGGAAGGCCTTCCTGGACGGCCCAGCAGGCAACGCCCCGGCTGGCGGCGCGCCAGCGCCCGGACCTGTCGCCGCCGCCGCCTCCGCTGCCCAGAACGAGGAGCCCGCCGCCAAGAGGGCGCGGCTCGCAGCAGACTGCGTGGCAAAGCCAGCGCAAGCCAAGACCCTGTTAGACGTCGGCGCACTCGAGCAGGCAGAATTCGACCGCTTGAAAGCGGACCTCCTGGGGGGCATGTGACTGACGCACGCGACGAACAGAAAACCGTCGTCACGCCGCCGCCGCCGCCGCCACCGCCGCCGCCTCCACCGCCGCCGCCGCCGCCGCCACCGCCGCCGCCGCCGCCGCCGCCGTCGCCGCCGCCGCCGCCTCCGCCGCCGCCCGCCGCCGCCCGCCCAAGGCCGTCTTCAGTGTAAATCACAGCAACTACAGCCGCCTGAGCCACCGGACCTTATTTTTTGCTACACAGAATGGACCCGTAGTTGTTATGTAGTTGTTGGCTTTTCAAATAGAAAAATTTTTCTTATTAAAAAGCAAACAACTACATAACAACTACGGGGCCATTTGGTGTGTAAAAAACAATACAGAACGCCCCTGGGGGCCGTACTTGCTGTAAATTTACAACTCAGATGCATGTCTGCCGAGACGACGTCGCTGGGGGGGCTCAGATGCGGTGCCCGCAGCAGTTTTTTGCTCAAGCAAGCCTCGCCTCGCGCAGGGACTCCACCGCGCGGCGGCCCGCGCGGGGCCATGGTGGCCCGCCGCGTTGCGCGCGGCCGCGCCGCCGCGAAGGCGTCGCACGCTCGGCTGACGCCTTTCCAGCGCGGCATGATTTACATGGGCAGCCTCGCCGGCATGACCATGACGGACATCGCGGCCTCGGTGCAGAAGTGCGACGGCAGCTTCCCGTCCGTCAACGTCGTCAAGGACACCATCGAGAAAGCCGAGGCCCACGGCGGGTCTGCGTGGGACGGCGCCTCGAGCGGGCGCCCGGGGCGGCCCCGGGAGACGCTCGGCACCCTCGACAGGGAGATCTCCAAGCTGGTGCACAAAATGCGCGGCAGCGCCGTCGTGACCGCCACTTACGTCCGCCAGGTGATCAAGGCGGCCCGCAAAGTCGGCGTCCGCACAGTGCAGAGGCGCCTTCGGGAAGCTGGATTGCGCTGGTTGCGCCGCCGGCGGAAGACGCTCTTGTCCCAGGAGCACATGGCGGCCAGGTTGGCGTGGGTGGTATTCACGGTGTCACAGACTCCGGCCATGCTTTCGCGGTGGGCGTACACAGACGGAACGTCCTTCTACTTGGCGCGCACGGCCGAGGAGCACTTGGACAAGGGGCGGGCAGCCCTTGGAACTCACGTGTGGCGGGCAGCAGATGGCCACGACGCGCTCTACCAGGATTGCGTTGGTCCTTCCTCATATGCGAAGGCCCAGGGGCGCTGCGTGCGCATCTGGGGTTTGCTCTTCGCCGGGATGCTCTGCGTCTACGTGCTGCCCCAGGGCGAGGTCATGAACGCGGAGTGGTACACCTGGATCATCGAGAACAAGTTCCGCGAGTGGCTGGACGCGGCTCACTCCCGAGCCACGCGCGTCTTCCTGGTGCAGGACCACGAGCGCTGTCTGTGGTCGGACGAGCCCCAGGACGCCTTGGAGGACGAGAACATCCACCTCCTGGAGGAGTTCCCGAAGTGCAGCCAGGACCTCAACCCCATCGAGGTGGCCTGGCGCGAAGTGAAGGCACGAATGGACGGCACGATGCCGGCGAAGCCGGAGCCTCGCCCAGTTTTCCTGCGTCGCTTGCACCGCGCCGTTGCGTGGGTGAATGCGAACAGGGCGGAATACTTATGGTACCTGTGCCACGCGCAGAAGGAGTGGGCGCAGGACGTCTGGGAGGCGAAGCCTCCAGGCGCGCGCACGAAGCACCGAGCTGGAAAAAGCGTCATCATCGGACTCGCTTGCCTCATCATCGTCGCCATCGTCGTCATTGCCACCAGCAGCAGTGGCATCATCATCGACGCGCCAGTTGCCAGCCCAGACAGTTTCGAATTTCAGTTCAGGGGAATGGCACCAACAGACAGGCTCAGGTTTCTCTGAGGATTCGAACCCCGCCCCACTCGCGAAACCCTTGCCCCCGCGCTCTTACTGGCGTCGCTGCCCCAAAGAAAGCGCGCTCGCGCGCTCTCGCATCTGTTAGAATTTTTAATGTTGCGTTCTTTTTTCCAGTAGACACCCGCCGAGGGCGCGCGAAGACCCCCCCTGGGGCCTTCAGCAACTCGGGATTACCGACGCCACGGCCCGAGCGGCAAGACAGGCGGTGGGGATCCCAGTGGGGGCCTCGGGGCCTCCCAGAGTGCTGAAGGTACTTGGAGGGCGGTTGTCGCGTGCCCTCGGCAGGTGTCACCCCGTGGGGAGTCCAAGTGACTCTGTGCGAGTTAGCCCCTGCGCGGGGCGGAGGGAGTCTGAGTGGCTCCGTGCGAGTGAGCCCCTGCGCAGGGCGAGACCAGTTGGGTCTGGACGCGAGTGGTGTTGGGATATGAGTGGGCCTGGGCGTGTGCTGGCGTGGGCGGGAGTGATCGTGGAAGAGTGAGTATGCATGAGCGTGTGTCTGAACGCAAGCGAGCAGAATACCCAAAGTTGAAATCTAAGAGGAATCCTGAGGCTGTCTGGAAGGCCGAACTGCACATCCGCGTGGCCGTCATACCCCTCGCAGGCATTACGCGCGGCCAACCCTCGTCAAAAATAACCTCAAAAATGCCTCACGTAGCTGAACTGATTGTGGGAGATATCGGACCGAGTGCCGATGAGTGCGATGTACTTGTATGCGCCGCCCCTCCAATGTCGGTCATCTTTGAATTTTCGAGTCGCTCCCGGTCACACCACATCTGCCCTGGCCCCGACATTGAAGGGGCGTCGTATCGACATTGAAGGGGCGCGCCGACATCGAAGGGGCGTGCCCGCCATTTTGAGGTTAATTTTGACGAGGGTTGTATGATCTTTGCCTTCTCGCCATTTTGCGTCCGAGGGGCGTCCGATGCCTCAAGACTGTCCGAATGTCGCCCAAGAGTGCCAAGACGCGCCTAAAGGCAGCATCCCGGGCTTTCTGTGGGCATCGCTCATCCGCGCCGACCCCGTTCTTTACTCGATGGCCTCCGAGGGCCCGAGAGTCTCCCCGAGAAGGCCCTGAGAGCCCCAGTGGCTTGCAAAAGGGCTCTGAGAGAGCTCCAAGAGGCCTCCAATAGGCCTCAAGAGGTCTCTCAGTTCACTATTGTCAGCCTCCCTGGCTCACTGATATGCTTATCTGGCAGCTGGCCTGGGCAACGCTTCCGCATGAGCTGATGGGGATACGCAAAGCGTTGAGAACTTGTGGCGTTCAAGCATGCTCAACCCCAGGATGGTGGAGCAATCCAAGCCCTGCGAAAGGCCCCAGGAGACACATGCAAGGACGCTGGAAATGATGTCTGTGGACCTTGCAAGCTGGAGAAAAAGGCTTCGCAGGAGCCCGGGAGGATCTTCGAAGGAGCTGTGGAAAGGCTTGCGGCAAGCGTATTCGGAACGAGGAGGAAAACGCGTCTGGAACACGCTGCAACTTCAACCGCCTCGCTGCGGGGTGTCTCGACCAGCGCCAGAAAGAGCTCCGGGGCTACCCTGCGCTGCCGGCCTCTAAGCTGAAGCCCTCTGAGCTCTCAGGGAGCTATCCCGGAAATACATCGGGAATGGCACATCGGATCAAAAAGACGCCCACTGCATGATTTCATGTGCTATGGAAAAGGGCCTGGGCTAGATGGGGGTGCGCATCGAGTGGTGTTAAGCATTGCATGTGGGATGGGATGGGTCCAGACACTATCTGAGACACGCAAAGGAAAAAGGACGGGGCCGAATGCTGTTGCGCGGTCAGAGGCCGGCCGGGTTTGAAGGAGGGTGTAACTCTGATAATATTCATGCTGGAGGGCAAAGGAGTAGGCACTAGAGAACGGAGATAAGAGAGCATAGAAGAGTAATCAAGGCCATGCACGTGAACTTTTGGCGCTCCGCGCGGATTTCTTGGATCTGCGCTGGACCCCCTCCATGGCGCGCGGAGCGCGTCAGGGGCGGTGCCGGAGGCGCCGCATGTGGGGGCGCAGCGCGGATCCCAGGAATCCTCGCGGAGCGCCAACTGTTTATAATTATGCTTATGGCGTTTTCCTTCTTCGAGCGCAGAGAGCAGAAAGCAGAGCGCAAAGAGTAGAGAGCTAGGGCAACTGCACTCGTCACTTTCGTTCCCGTTTTTCAACAGCGCGATGCTGCCGCCCCCCAGCAGCGCGATGCTGCGCGTCAGCAACTGATTGGCGCGCAGCGCCCCCTCGGTCCGCGACGGCGGTGCGTGAACTCCGGCCTCGGGCCATGCGATGCCGGCGATGAGCCCATCTGCGCCGACGGCCGCCAGGTTCCGCACCCGAAGGGCCGCCCGGCGCCGCCGCGGCCCTGCCAAAAAACCCGTCGCGGCCAGGCTCTGAGCCCAGGCCGCCGACGAGGCCACCGCTTGCCCCCCCGCGCCCCGTGGAGGGGGCCAGTGCCTGCGAGCTGCACCGACGGCCTGCCGCCCGGCTCTGCTGCCAGCCGCGGTGCCCACTGGGCCTCGCGGCGCCGTGGCGGCCCCGCCAGGAGCGTCACAGGCGGACGTAGCCCGGGTGCGCCGCCGTCTGCCCTGCAGCGGCCGCGCGCTGGCCCCGCAGGAGGGCACCGGCACCGAGGACGAGAAAGAGGAGGCCGGCCGCAGGGGACCACTGCAGAGCCTCGACCGCCGCACGGGCCTCGACGCCCTGGCCGCCGAGCACCTGGAGCAGGCTGTCGCCATCGCAGAGCTGCCGGAGCGGCCCCCCGACAGGCAGCGGCTTGTCGAGGAAAGCTCTCAGGGGGCCAAAGTGCGAACCCTACCCCCTACCCCCCAACCGGCTCTGAGGGGGAGGGTGGGCTTCACTTCGTGCGGGAGCTCCCGAGCGAAGTAAGCCCACCCTCCCCCTCGGGGGTATGGGGTAGGGTTCGCATGTGGCCCCCTAGCTCTCTTCAAGACCCAGGGCAGACGCCCGTTCACGTACCTCATGCCCTGCGAGGCGAGCCACGCCTCCAGTCCCGAGAACTGCCCGCTCTCGCGGAGGCGGGCATGCGCGGGCTCCACCGCCCCAGGGTCTATCACGAGGCCGGCCGTCCCGTTCGCGCAGGCCAGCGTGCTCGACAGGCTGACGCGGAAGCCGCTCGGGTAGAACAGAGCCGTGTCAACGAGGCACTTCGCGGTCTTCGTGCACATGTAGTCTGCAACGCTCTCCCCAAAGAGAGGCACTCGCCGAACGACTCTGCCTCCCACCTTCGGAAGGGAGCGAAGAGAGCAGGAGGCAGGGGAGAGAGAGGGGTGGAGCATGGGATCGAGGGGCGGGAGGCGTAGGTGTGACTGTTTCCCCGCCCGCACCTGCACCCGAGGAACGGTAGCGTTCAGCACAAAGTTCCACTGCCGCTCGGCGCTGCACCTAGCTTCCATAGTGTGCACGACGACAGACGGGTCCATCCTGAAGTCTTCAAAAACAGCCGTCCAGAAACCTTTCGAGGAGCAGGAGCCTGGGGGGAAGGGGAGCAGGAAGAGAAAGAAGGAGAAGAGAAGCTGTCTAGAAACCTTCGGTCAAGTTGTACGGGAACTTCTGTAACACCATGCACGGCTTCGAGTCGCTGCCATCCTGCAAGAGTTCTGGATCTGCGCAATTTCCAAACACGCGCGCCTCTGCCGCAATGAGCTCGTTCAACTGGTCAACCGCACCCCAAGCAGCTAGCTCTGCGTTCACGTTGTCAACATCTCTAAGCCTGCAGACTTGCATATGTATGCTGCCAATGCTGCTGAAGACCCAAGAATACACTGCCAGTAAGAAGCACCCGAAGCATGCGCATGAACAGGCAACGCAATGCCGCATATTTGTACGCAGTTGCCCACCAAGCCAGATTTATACAAGCTTCGCCGAATGTCCGAGCGGAAGCACAGTATCATCTATGGCACCGCGATCCTACCACTACAAGAGTAGGGCGAGCTCGACCTTGTGATTTTACAGAGGCTCTGCAAACCCAGCAGTGATAGCGGAAGTCAGCACAGGGCCGGACGCTGTAACAAAGCCTGACAACTTCACGAAATAACTTTGCCCGAGCCAAACCGGCTACGGAAGACGAGAGAGATAAGGAGATTCACGAACCACGGAGGGCGGGAGCTCTTCGTAAGAACAGTTATAAGCTATGAGGCACGACTACAAAGACATCAAGCCAGACTAAGCAAGAGAGAGAGAGAGAGCCAGGGATTAAGCCTGTTGCGAAAGACTTTGCCAGATTGCGCCCGACCACGGATATACCGGCCCCCGTGCTGAATTAAACCTCCCATGAGCTACATCCTAAACCACGGTCCCAGGGGCCAGCAAAGTTCGCGGGGGGCCTGTAGCTACCTGGAGCCACGTAGCGGGTTCTGGAAACCCTGATACCCCAAATGTTGTCATCTCTTGGGGGCACGTCTTTTACTTCCGCCCGCTTCTGCTGGCCTCCCCTTGGCTTCCGCCGGCGGAGGCGCCCCCGCTTTACTTCCGCCGCCTTCTGGAGAGAGAAAGAGATGGCACCTCCCTCGGTCCTCTCAGGCGAGGACCTTTCTGGAACGCCCCACTTGGCGGGCCGCTGTCTTCTCTTGCCAGATACGGGCGCGCGCAGGAGTGACCCCGGGCAAGAGAGACCACTGGTGCGCAGCTTTGGGGGGCCGCGGGGGAGGCCAAGTCAACGCAGCCCAAGCGCGCCAGCCAGTGCTGGCGGGACCCCTGTGGGCCCGCACCGAAAGGCCACTCTGGCGAAGGGTCGCTCCCCAGACATGCGCTGCCCTGACTTTTTCGAGGCGGAGTCCCCGGAAGTGCCGTCCATTGCCCAAGGACCAGGTTTTCGTCCCGAATCGTTTCTTGACGGCCCCGGGGCCCGGCGAGGGCAGTCGCCCGGCTATGGGAAACCATGGCCGGACGACTGCCTGGGAACCCCTGGGAGGGTTAATTCCCAACCATCCTGTGGTGTTGGGTCCTCGTTTTGAAGAGACGGTGCCCCGCGTCTCCTTCCTCCTCCTCTCCTCCTCCGCCTCCTCTCCCCTCCTATCATCCTCATCGTCATCATCATCATCATCGTCATCATTATCATCATCATCATTATCATCCTCATTAATTATCATCATCATCGTCATCAACATCAACATCATGGCCGCCATCATAACCATCATCGTCATCATCACCATCATCGTCGTCATCACCATCATCGTTGTCCTCGTCGCCATCATCGCACGTTTCGTGGCCCCATACGGAGCTCCACCGAAGGTCCCAGTGGGTGTGCCCGCATGCGTCCCGCACGCCCATTTTGGCACACCCCTCACACGTTTCGTGGCCCCATAGGGAGCTCCATTTACGGTCCAAGTGGCGCAGCTCGCATGGCGCCACCGCCCCATTTTGGCACACCCCTCACACGTTTCGTGGCCCCTCAGGGAGCTCCACCTGAGGTCCAAGTGGCGCAGCTCGCATGGCGCCACCGCCCCATTTTGGCACACCCCTCACAGATTTCGTGGCCCCTCAGGGAGCTCCTTTTGGCACACCCCTCACACGTTTCGTGGCCCCATAGGGAGCTCCACCTAAGGTCCACGTGGCGCAGCTCGCATGGCGCCACCGTCCCTTTTTGGCACACCCCTCACACGTTTCGTGGCCCCATAGGGAGCTCCATTTACGGTCCAAGTGGCGCAGCTCGCATGGCGCCACCGCCCCATTTTGGCACACCCCTCACAGATTTCGTGGCCCCTCAGGGAACTCCACCTGAGGTCCAAGTGGCGCAGCTCGCATGGCGCCACCGCCCCTTTTTGGCACACCCCTCACACGTTTCGTGGCCCCTCAGGGAGCTGCACCTAAGGTCCCAGTGGTGCAGGAGGACGACGACTGGTGGCTGGAGCTCTATGTGCTGCTCTCGCGCGCCACGCGCCACGAGGACCTCCTGCTCATGCGGGCGCCGCGCATCGAGTTCTTCCTGGCAGGACCGCCGGAGGGCCTGCGAAAGCAGCTGGAGCAGTTTGCAGCGCGCACGAAGCGGTGCAGGAGGGAGGCGACGGCCCTCGCCAGGGAGCTCGGCTTCACCGAGTTTATCCGCGAGGCCTGACCTGAGGAGCGCCCCCCCCGAGCCGCGCCTTCTCTCGACTGCCCGCATACTTGTTCGGCCTCGCGCCGCGGACGACCCGCGCGCGTCGCTGGGACCCTCTCGGGGCGACCAGCGCGCGTCGCGGGGATTCCGCGCGGCGCTCTGCTCAGCGCCTCGCTCGCCCGTCGTCGCTCTGCCCAGCGGCCGGAGCCTTGCCCGCAATCAGCCGGCCGGCTAGCTCTCTGCGCTCCGCGCAGCGGACGACCTGCGCGCGTCGCTGGGACCCCTCCGCGGCGACCTGCGCGCGTCGCGGGGACTCCGCGCTGCTCTGCGCCCGCAGCTTTGGATTTTTGGAGCGCGCAGGCAAAGAGGGGGGAAAAGAAGGGGCGGAAGCGGGTGCGATCCCCGTGAGGGGCGTGCCGACATGGGCGTCGCGGCGCGCGGGCGCTGCCGTCGGGGTTCCCGCGGAAGCTGCCTGCGGCGGCCACGCCCAGTGTCACGAGTGTTCGGACAGGCATGCTCGAGCCATTCACATTCATATACATTTACACTAGGCGTAGCCAAGATCGCATTCATGCAAATATACTCACTCCCACGCAGACCCATTCACACTCAGACTCTCTCGCGCTCTGGCTCACCCGCGTTCATTCTTTCGTAATCTGACCTATCGTATTCCTTTGCGTTGTGTACCCCGCCATATTTCGGCATACCCCTCATGCGGTTCGTGGCCCCATAGGGAGCGCCACCGAAGAAGGTACTCACAATTGCGGCACTCACAACTGCATATGGTTGGGTCTTTCGCCAGGATAATTACTTGTTGTGGTCCCATGCTTCCCATAATTCGAACTATGGGAAACCTGGGATTCGAATAATGGGAAAGCTGGAGTCACCACGAAAGCGCGTCCATTTTTATGGTGATTCCAAGTTTCCCATAATTCCGAATTGCGGGGAACCTGAAATCACAACGAAAACCATTATTTTTTTTGTCGTGATTCCAAGTTTCCCATAATTCGACTCTGGAAACCTGGAATTCGAATTATGGGAAACATGGAATCACCACGAAAACCAAATCTTTTTGTAGTCATTCCAAGTTTCGCAGAATTCCGAATTATGGAAAACCTGGAATCACCACGAACATCAAAACTTGTTTCTTTGGTGATTCAAGGTTTTCCATAATTCGATTGTGAGAAATATGGAATTCAAATGATGAGAAACCTGGAATCGCCACGAACAAAAACATTTGTAGTAGTGATTCTAGGTTTCACATATCTCCCCCCCCCCTCAGCGGCTCCTCCCCCTGGATTCCCTAAATTCTGAATTCACATGGCAGGGAACCTGCTGCATTATGGGAAACTGCCGCCCCCAGGTTCCCCAAATAAGGGGCTTGAATGTACCTGGAATCACAACGAAAACTATATTTGTTGTGGTGATTCGAAGTTCCCCATAATTCCGAATCATGGGGTACCTGGACTCACTACGAAAGTCACACCTTCTTTGTGGTGATTCCAAGCTTCCCATAACTCCGATTGTGGGAAACCTGGACTTCGAATAATGGGAAAGCTGGAATCACCACGAATACCGTTTTTTGTTATGATTCCAGGTTTCCCATAATTCCGAATTATGGGAAACCTGGAATCACCACGAACACAATACCTGTTTTGTGGTGATTCCACGTATCACATAATTCCTGACTATGGGAAACGCACCTTTTTGGTGATTCCAGGATTCCTGCAATTCGATCATGAGAAACCTGGATTCCGAATGGTGGGGAACCTGGAATTACCACGAAAACAATACCTGTTTTGCGGTGGTTCCAAGATTACCATACTTCCTGAGTATGGGAAGCCTGGAATCACAACGAAGAGCGCATCTTTTTTGCGGTAATTCCAATTCTCCCATCATTTGATGACGGGAAACCTGGGACATCTGGAATTCGAATTTTTGGAAAACCTGGAATCACCACGAAAACGATTTCTGTTTTGTGGTGATTCCAAGTCTCACATAATTCGGAATTGTGGAAAACCTGGAATCACCACGAAAACCACAACTTTTTGTGGTGATTCCAAGTTTCCCAGAACTCGTTGATGGGAAACCTGGAATTCAAATTATGGGGAACCTAGAACCACAACGCAAAACATGTGTAGTGGTGATTCAGGTTTCCCATGGTTCAATCCCCCGGCGGCTTCTTCCCCCTGGGTTCCCGAAGTTCTGAATTCGAATTACGGGGAACCTTCCGCATTGTTGGAGACTGCCGCCCCCCGGTTCTCCAAATGAGGGGCTCGAATTCTGGGAAACCTGGAATCACAACGACAACCCCGCGATTTATGTGGTCATCCCAGGTTTCCCATAATTCAGAATTATGGGAAACCTGGCATCACCACGAAACCCAAACCTTCTTTGAGTTGATTCCAGGTTCCCCATAATTCGATTATGGTAAACCTGGAATTCGAATAATGGGAAAGCTGGAACCACCAGGAAAACAGCTTTTTTGTGTGTGGTCATTCCAAATCCCCCATAATTCCGAACTGCTTGGAAACATCAAATTTCCACGACACCCAATCATTTTTTGTGGTGACTCCAGGTTTCCCAGAATTCCGAATTAACTATGAAAAACCTGGAATAAACAGGAAAGCCAACATTTTTTTCGGTGGTGATTCAAAATTTCCCGTAACTCGATAATAGGAAGCCTGGAACTCGAATTATGAGAAACCTGGAATCATAACGAAAAATCATGTTTTGTGGTAACTCCAGGTTTCCCATGATTCAAACCCCCCAGCGGCTTCTCCCCCCTGGATTCCCTAAACTCTGAAGTCGAATTACGGGGAACCTTCCGCATTGCTGGAAACTGCCGCCCCCCGGTTCCCCAAATGAGGGGCTCGAATTCTGGGAAACCTGGAAACACAACGACAACCCCGCCATTTATGTGGTCATCCCAGGTTTCCCATAATTCTGATTTATGGGAAACCTGGCATCACCACGAAGCCCAAACCTTTTTGTGGTGATTCCAGATCTCCATGATTCGAACCCCCCAACGGCTTCTCCCCCCTGGATTCCCTAAATTCTGAATTCGAATTACGGGGAACCTTCCGCATTGTTGGAAACTGCCGCCCACCGGTT